TGTATATACTCCATGTTATAGCACAGACCCCTTTTGATATGGCAGAACACTGTACAAAACAAAAAAAAGTGCCCTGCTCCTTTGTATTGCCTGAGGTCCAATGACAACAGAACTAATTCTGGACTCATAAGTACAGACATTCAAAAAGCCCAAGCCTGAATGGATTCAATCTTTGCATGTTAGTCTGACTTGCAGAGAGTGAATCAGTTTCCAAATGGATAGATGTTCCCTTTTTATTCAGGAAATGCAGGCACATGCCTGCAGTGGCTCTAGCCAGAAGCCCGGGGGCGCTATAGCAGCCCTCCCTTCCACAGGGAAGCCTCCCCTCCCCTCCTCCGCTGCCATGGCTTTGGGAGGGGGCTATATGAGGCTGTGTGGACCCAGAGGAGGAGCTCTTCCCCCTGACTTTCCCCCATCGCTGCAGGGTAGGGAGGAGGGGGGCTCTATGGGATGCTGCCCAGCCCCAGACGGGGACTCTTCCCACCACTTCTCCCCATCTCCCAGGGCAAGGGAAGGCTCTGTTCCATGCTGGGGGGAACTCTTCTCCCTCCTACTCCTTCCCCCAGAGAGGCAGCGGGAGCGCAGAGCTCAGCTGGGCAGGGTGTGGGGGAAGGGACCCCCACAAACTCCACCCATGGCATGCAGCCCCCCACTGCCTGGCAGCAGCAGCAGGTGGGGAGGTCAGGGTGCTCATGCTTCCCCCATTCCCTGCTGCACAGGTCCCCGCACTCTGCCGGGAATGGAGAGAGTCCTGCCCCCTGCTTCCGTGCAGAGTCCAGCATAGGGCTTCCCCTTTGCAAGTGTGGAGCTACAGGTGCGCGGTGCAGAATGCTCATCCAGCGCCTCACAGAGTCTCCCTCTCCACACTGGGAGGAGGAGGAGGGGGAACAGTCCCACCCAGCATGGAACAGAGCCCCTCTCCGCACCCTGTGGGACAACCAACTCAGCATGGCCCCGTTAAGGTGATGGGGCAGGGAGAAGAGTTAATTCCTCCCTCCATCCCTTCCCTGCAGCTGGGGTCTGCCAGCTCCAGAGGCCACCGCTGCAGCCCCCTCCCCTTTGCTCCCCAGCAAACAGGCTGACCCCGGCTGTTGTG